CCTGGTCTCAAGTGATTATCCTGCCTCCCAAAGCACTGGGATTACAGGCATTAGCCTTCACACTTGGCCAAATAACTGGAGATTTTTATTCTCTATGTTAAATCATTTTGTGATTTAAGTGTCTTATACATGTATTATTTTTGAAATCTGAAAATACAAATATATGTTTTAGAAGAGAGAGAGACGATTTGATATGTGTGAATTGTCCCCCGAGCCTGCAAAGCAGTCTCTGGTCCATCTTGGGAAAACGTCGGCTGAGCACTCCTGCTGGACTCTCAGACCATAACCCACACCTCCTGCTGCTGCTTCCTCTCCCAGCCCTTCCTTCCTCACCTCCTGTTAGCTGGCTTTGGGCCCAGGTACATGGGAAAGAAATAACCTTCTGAGGTCACCATGTGGTCTGCCAACCCAGCAGGCTTTCCATGATGTCACTTGACTTTGCTGAGCAAATTTCACCCATTTTATCTTCAGGCTACTTCTCAGATATATTTCATCTCCAGATTCTATTCCTTTAAGACATTCCACCTATCTCATCACTGGGACCGTTCCTGCTTGACCCTGAGGAGTCAGATCAAATGTCTCTGCCTCCAAGAAGCCCTGTCTAACTCCAGCTCCCTCTGCTCCTTCTGCTCCCTGCACAATACTGGTATTTTGTTTTATTTTGTTTTTGAGACAGGATCTCACTCTCTCACCCAGGCTGGTGTGCAGTGGCGTGATCACGGCTCACTGCAGCCTTGACCTCCTGGGCTCAAGTGATCCTTCTGATGCAGCCTCCCAAATAGCTAAGTCTATAGGTGTGTGCCACCACACCTGGCTAATATGTGTGTCTGTGTGTGTGTGTGTGTGTGTGTGTGTGTGTAGACAGGGTTTTGCCACATTGCCCAGGCTGGTCTCAAACTCCTGGGTTCAGGCATCTGCCCACCTTATCCCCTCCCAAAGTGCTGGGATTACAGGTGTGAGCATCATGGCCAGCCAGCGCTCACTCTTGTTGAACGTCTGGCCCCCAGGCTGACTGCAGGTCCTGTGAGGGCATGAGCTATGTCCACCTGCCTCTATTACTGACTCGCTGACATGCAAAGATTTCCAATTTGCCTCCTTACAGCGAATTCCTCCCGTATGAATTCACTTCCAGGTGAATCACTTTAATTATGTCACTTCCCGGCCCAAGAACCTGCAAGACTCACTAGTGCCTCCTGAACCATACTATTCAAACCCTTCTTGGCAGTTAGGATTCTTCAAACCTGACCTTGCTTTCCCCATTTTGTATGAACCTGTTCTCCTAGAAGGATCCACCTCTGCAGTCAGGCCTTCCCTGTGCTGTCCACGCACCATTCCCACCTCCCTGCCCTTGGCCAAACCACTCCCCTACCTACCTGGAAGGTACCCCACCCTCTATTCTCCCTGATCCTCTAAATTCCTTTTTTTTTTTTTTTTTTCTCTGAGACAGTTTTGCTCTTGTTGCCCAGGCTGGAGTGCAATGGCATGATCTCCGCTCACAACCTCTACCTCCCAGGTTCAAGTGATTCTTCTGTCTCAGCTTCCTGAGTAGCTGGGATCACAGATACACACCAACACACCTGGCTAATTTTTGTATTTTTAGTAGAGACAGGGTTTTGTCATGTTGGTCAGGCTGGTCTTGAACTCCTGGCCTCAGGTGATCTGCCCACCTCAGCCTCCCAGAGTGCTGAGATTACAGGTGTGAGCCACTGTACCCGGCCCCAACTTGAGCTCTTTCCAGTGTCCAGAGTCTAGTTTCTCTTCTCCACAAGCCTTCTGTCTCTGGACTACATAAGCTGGATGGCATAGAGGTGTGGAGGGACACCAGGCACTTTGGATCCCACTCTGTCTCTTAGAAGCCATATGACTTAGGTCGAGTTCCTTATCTTCTCTGTGCTTCAGTTTCCTTATCAGTAAAATGGGGCTAGAATTGACCTCATAGGGTTATTGTGAGGAGAAAAAGAGTAAGAACATGGGAAGCACCTGGAACTGTGCCTAGCACATAGTATGTGCTCAGTAAGCACTAAAAGTGACTTCTTCAGCCCATTCTGATCTCAGTTCTCAATTTCCACAGCTCATATCCCTGAAGCCTGCCAACCCTGGGTCGCATCCTGTACACAGCCCTGGAACTCTTCCATATGGTCAGCAAAAATGAGAACCCACACCCCCCATTTGCAAAGAGACAAAAACAAACCTCTCACACTTTGTTAGCCCCAGCCAGGGAGTGACACCATCCCCCACCCACCAACTCTCAATAGCTTTTTAGGGCTGAAAGAGGGAAGACAGAGCAGAAGAGAAAGGTGAGGCCGGCCAGGCGCGGTGACTCATGCCTCTAATCCCAGCACTGCGGGAGGCTGAGGCGGGTGCATCGCCTGAGGTGAAGGAGTTTGGGACCAGCCTGGCCAACAGAAACCCCATCTCTACTAAAAGCACAACAATTAGGCTGGGCGCAGTGGCTCTTGCCTGTAATTCCAGCACATTGGGAGGCCGAGGCAGGTGGATCACAAGGTCAGGAGTTCAAGACCAGCCTTGTCAATATGTTGAAACTCTGTCTCTATTAAAAACACAAAATTAGCCAGGCATGGTGGCAGGCGCCTGTAGTCCCAGCTACTCAGGAGGCTAGGGGGGGCACCTGTAGTCCCAGCTACTCGGGAGGCTGAGGCTGAGAAATCACTCGAATCTGGGAGGCGAGGTTGCAGTGAGATAAGATCGTACCACTGCACTCCAGCATGGGCAACAACAGCGAAACTGTCTCAAAAAAAAAACCCCAAACCAAACCAAAACAAAGCAAAAAAACTGGAAAGGTGAGGCCTTCAACAGATGATAGGGATCTTAAGGGCTGCCCTCATGAATGAATTAATTCATTCATAATTAGTGGTTAATTGAATAGATTGATGGGATATCATAGAAGAGGAACTGGTAGCTTTATAAGAAGAAAGTCGGGCTTGGTGGCTCACGCCTATAATCCCAGCACTTTAGGAAGCCGAGGCGGGTAGATCACAAGGTCAGAAGTTCGAGACCAGCGTGGCCAACATGGTGAAACCCTATCTCTACTAAAATACAAAAAATTAGCTGGTGTGGTGGCACGCACCTGTAATCCCAGCTACTTGGGAGGCTGAGGTAGGAGAATTGCTTGAATTTGGGAGGCGGAGGTTGAAGTGAGCAGAGATCGCGCCACGGCACTCCAGCCTGGGTGACAAAGAGAGACTCTATCTCAAAAAAATAATAAATAAATAAATAAATAAAAGAAGAAGAGAGACCTGAATTAGCATGTTAGCAAGCTTAGCCCCTGACCATGTGCTGTGGTGTCCTAAATGGCTACAGGGCACCGTAGAGAGTTTCCAAGTTCCAGGCTCCGCCTCTCTCCAACAAAGAGAAGGGGGGTTCCTATCTCTGGTTCTTACCCTTCAAGACCTCTCCCAGGTTTCAACCCCACTCTGGCCTCAACACTGTCTTAGGGTGCAGTCTTCTCATAAACTGTGCTAGGAACATTGGGGTGGGGTGTAGGTGGGAGGAGGAAAGAAATGCTCAAGCTTCAAGTCCATGCTTCTGGGATCTCCCACTTAATTGGGAGAAATTAGACATGCATAGGCAACCAAATTCAAAATGGAGAGTGCTATACAATCATAAGAATGAATAGGCTGGGCACAGTGGCTTACGCCTGTAATCCCAGCACTTGGCGAGGCCAAGGCGGGCAGATCACTTGAGCTGAGGAGTTCGAGACCAGTGTGGGCAATGTGGTGAAACCCCATCTCTACAAAAACGTGGTGTCAGGCACCTGTAGTCCCAGCTACTCTGGAGGCTGAGGCAGGATAATCACTTGAACTCTGGAGGCGGAGGTTGCAGTGAGCTGAGATTGCGCCACTGTACTCCAGCCTGGGCAGCAGAGAGAGACCCTGTCTCCAAAGGAAAAAAAAAAAAAGAATATAGGCCCGCATGGTGGCTTACTCCTGTAGTTCCAGAACTTTAGGATGCTGAGGCAGGAGGATCACTTGAGCTCAGGGGTTCGAGATCAGCCTGGGCAACATCTCTACAAAATATACAAAAGTTAGCCAGCCATGGTGGTATCTGCCTATAGTCCCAGCTACTCGGGAGGCTGAAGTGGGAGGATCCCTTTAGCTGAAACCACACCATTGCATTACAGCCTGAGAAAGAGAGCAACAGAGTGAGATCCTTTCAAACTAACTAACTAACTAAATAAATATAAACCTAGGGCTTGGGAGGCCAGTAGTGGGAGCCTTTGGGGACATAAAGGAGGAAGTAGGATTTCAGCCTCAGCCTTTGGACTCGTTAGGGTAGATGGTCTTTCTCATAAAATAAGACTGGGCTTGGTGGCTGATGCCTCTAATCCCAGCACTTTGGGAGGCCGAGGGGGGTGGATCACTTGAGGTCAGTCAGGAGTTCAAGACCAGTCTGGCCAACATGGTGAAATCCCATCTCTACTAAAAAATACAAAAATTAGCCGGGCATGGTGGTGGGCACCTGTAGTCCCAGCTACTTGGGAGGCTGAGGCAGGAGAATTGCTTAAACCTAGGAGGTGGAGGTTGCAATGAGCTGAGATTGCACCACTGCACTCCAGCCTGGTTGACAGAGCAAGACTCCAACACAAAAAAAAAAAAAAGAGAAGGAGGAAGAAAAAAAGAATGGAATGAGAAAAGGAAGAAGGAAAGGAAAGAAGAACAGTTGATGATAACCTGCCCTGACCTCAGGAGGATGACTAATTTAACCCTCTGCACCTAAAGTCCACAAGGAGAGAAATAAAGTGATACCTCCTATAACTCTGCCATGGTGGCATTTTAACTTTTTCTGTCTAAGCCTCGAACCCTCACTTCTGTGCATCCTACTGTGTATGTTTCTATGTGGCTGTCACCAGGAGGAACACATCACTATGAATTTTTGCCTAAGAAAATGCCAGCACTGAGCCAGGACTTGTGAATATAAGATATCATTTTATCCTCTTAACATTGTGAGCTAAGTATCATTATCTCTATTTTACAGATGCATTTAACCTCAGAGATCAGGTTATTTATCCAACTCCTACTATTAATAAATCACAAAGCCAGCACTTTGGAAGGGCAAGGTGGGACCATTGCTTGAGGCCAAGAATTCAAAACCAGCCTAGGCCACATAATGAAACCTCATTTCTTTCTTTTTTTTTTTTTTTTGAGACGGAGTTTCGCTCTTGTTACCCAGGCTGGACTGCAATGGCCCGATCTCAGCTCACCACAACCTCCGCCTCCTGGGTTCAGGCAATTCTCCTGCCTCAGCCTCCGGAGTAGCTGGGATTACAGGCACGTCCCACCATGCCCAGCTAATGTTTTGTATTTTTAGTAGAGACAGGGTTTCACCATGTTGACCAGGATGGTCTCGATCTCTTGACCTCGTGATCCACCCGCCTCGGCCTCCCAAAGTGCTGGGATTACAGGCTTGAGCCACCGCGCCCGGCCATGAAACCTCATTTCTACAAAACAAAACCAAACAAGAAAATGAATCCCAAAGCTGGTGTTCCAAACACCTTGGCTGCAAAGGCCCAGGGTCATGTGATGCCATTTAGTTGGTCCAATAGCTTCCTCATAATTATTCTTATTAAGGTCAGCCTAGTGGTCCATTATATTGATGGAGGGTAATTTACTGTAATTTACTAACTGCGGTCCTATTTCTGAATATTTTGGCTCTTTCTAGCTTTCTGTTAATCCTGTAAATTATCTTCAAGTCCAGGCTTTTTGAATCTGTTGATTTACTTCCTTACCGGGGTGGGATTACTTTGTGGTGACACACAAATGTTAACCTCATTACAGCAGTTTATTCTTGTTGACGAGGTTTTCACAAAAGAGTTGAATGGGTAAGCAGGAGTTAAAACCCAGAGACTGGCTGGGTGTGGTGGCTCATGCCTATAATCCCAGCACTTTGGGAGGCCAAGGGGGGTGGATCACGTGAGGTCAGGAGTTCAAGACCAGCCTGGCCAACACGGTGAAACCTCGTCTCCACTAAAAATACAAACATTACCCAGTTGTGGTGTGGGGGAAGGGGGGGCACCTGTAGTCCCAGGGAGGCTGAGGTAGGAGATTTGCTTGAACCTTGGAGGCGATGGTTGCAGTGAGCTGAGATTGTGCCATTGCACTCCAGCCTGGGCGACAAGAGTGAAACTCTGCCTCAAAAAAAAAAAAACAAAAAACCCCAGAGACGCGTGTGTGTGTGTGTGTGTGTGTGTGTGTGTGTGTGTGTGTGTGTTGGGGGTTGGGGGTACATGTGAGGCACAGGATGTTGGGGTGGTGTGAGGCCTCCAGCTGGGCAGGAAGTCAGTCTGGGGAGATTCCTGTGTCCCCCACATTTCCCTAAAGCCTTCCTGGCTCAAGCTGTTTGGGGTCTGAAGTGCAGTGCAAGGGGGATTAGGCAGGCTGTGGTCCAGCCACTCCCTCTTTGTCCTGATACCCTGCCCCCACCCCAAGCTCCTTCTACTCCCTCCAGAAGGCCTCCCAATCTTCTCTAAGGGTGAGAGGGGTGGGATGGGCAAGCAGAAGCCTGAGGCCTGCACACCCTCGCCCTGCACCTCCTTCTGTTCCTAAGGCCTGGCTTCCCATGCTGGACATCACCTGGGAATCTGGTTAAAATGCAGATTCTTATTTCTCAACTCTGGGGCAGGGCCTGAGCGCCTGGATTTCTGGCAAGCTCCTTAGAAATGGTGCTGCTGCTGGTCCCAGAGCCCCACTAGTGATGCCCTAAGGAATCCGGCCAGGGTCCCAGCCTCCCCTGCTGCCCAAGCTCCATGGACAGTTTCAGAATTGTGATAAAAACATGGAGAGGGGGCTTAGCCCTTGGCAGGGGCAGAAAGTGGTCCCTCAAATCGATGCAGCGCTTCTTCCTCTAAGTCCAGATACGATGAGCTGGTTCGTCCCTCAAGTGATGGGAAGGATCTGCCAGGAAGAATTGGCCCAGCAGAAAACGCAGGCCCAGAGATGGGACTGGCTTGCCCTGGGCTGCACAGCCTGCCTGTGGCAGAGGCCTGGGGACGCCTGAGGCCTGAGCTCTCTGCAGGCTTGTCTCATAGCCTGACTTCTGAGTACGTGGAGGTGGGGAATGGGGGTCTGGCAAGCCGTGGGGACAGGGCCAGTGCTGTGGGATCTGCAGCTGCTGTGTGTGGGAGGTGGACACTGGGACAGCTCTCCCCTGGCAGAGTTAGCTCTCGGGCCCTTTGGCAGCTTCCCTGGCCAGCCAGGGAGGGGTCAGCTAGGGATAGGCAGTAAATATAGATCCAGGGCAGGAAGCCAGGCGGCCCAGCCCTGCACTGACCTCTTGTTGGAAGTCTGGGGAGGGCAGATGTCCAGTCTCAGCACCCTCCTCTCCTGGGGTGGGGGACAGCTAGCCCAGCAGCACCCTAGAATTGCTGGAAGTGGTTGGGGGTAGGAGACAGAACCTCCAAAGGGGACCAGGGTGAGGGTAAGTGGAAAGCTGCCCAGGAGATGCCGTGCCTGTGTGACCAAGTGCCCTCTCTAGGCCTCTGTTTTCTTTTCTGGTTATCTCTGTCAAAGGAGCTGTCCAGCTTCCTGGTAAGGGGCCCACTCATCAAAGGGAATTGGGGGCCCATAAGTACAAGAGGCAGGGGGCAAGATCCCCTTACAGCCCCTCCTCCCACCCCCACTGGTCTTGCTTGTTCAGGAGAGGAAGGATTCTCAGAGCGTGATCTCATTTCTTGCTCTCCACCCAATCTCTGGGTGCTGGTCTCCCACCCTAGGGCTCAGGGTCACACCTCAGCCTGGCTCCCCTTGCTGCATAGATGCAGCCCTGTGCTGGGTCCGTGCCACATACACCATGCCCACCTAGTTCAGCCAAGACCCTCGGGACCCCCGACTCTGGGAAGAGGAATTCAAGCAAGGCACCCACTCCAACGCAGATGCATTTATTGGCAAAACCTATTCCCAGGCATCAAGGGGAAGGGTGCTAGCAGAGTGAATGATTTTTGTTTTTCACTTGCCTTGGCCATGTTCAAGGAGCAAGGGGAGGGAGGGGCAGGGACATCCCAATCAGGATAATGATTCCAGTAGCTCTGCTCCAAGGTTGGGCTCTTCACTAAGCAAGGCCTTTACTTGCACTGTCTCCTTTAATCCTTATAACAACCCCACAAGGTAGGTACCATTATCATCTCCATTTTACAGATGAGGAAACTGCAGTGTAGCATGGGGAAGTGGTGGAAGGTGGGTGTCAGCTTTCAGGGGCGCCTGGAGAGCCTCCCATGGACTGAGCTAGCTTGGGAGGTATAAACAATGACACCCAGTGTCGAGCTGGAACCCACCACACACACATGTTGAGTGTGTGGCCCCAAGGCTAATGCTTCCTTGTGTGTGTGTGCGTGTGTGTGTGTGTGTTATGAGACAGGATTTCGCTTTGTTGCCCAGGCTGGAGTGCAGTGGTGTGATCTCGGCTCACTGCAACCTCCACCTCCTGGGTTCAGGTGATTCTCATGCCTCAGCCTCCCAAGCAGCTGGGATTACAGGTGCCCACCATGACACCCGGCTAATATTTGTATTTTTTGTAGAACAGGGTTTCACCATGTTGGCCAGGCTGGTCTCGAACTCCTGACCTCAAGTGATCCACCCACCTCGGCCTCCCAAAGTGCTGGGATTACAGGTGTAAGCCACTGCGCCCGGCTGCCTCCTCTCTTTTTTGCCACTCCCTGATTCTGTTTCCTCCATCTCTCACCACTTCCACGTCTTTCAACTATTTTTATCTTTTTGTTTTATAAAAAAATAAATTTGCCCATGTTCTGGAGAGCCCGCTGTCTCCCACCCCAATTGGTCAGATCTGGGTTCTCCCTAGGATTCAGTTTAGATGGGGTTGGGGATAGTGGGTCTCAAATGAGGGGCCTGGAGGTGTGTGTGAAGCCAAAGTATGATGAGAACTCTTAGAAAATACACAATTAATAAATTACAAACCCCCTCCCTGTCCCACCCCTACTTTCCCACCTTCTCCCACTCCCTATCCAAATCTAAAATCAACTGTACCTTGCCCCCCACCCACACCCCAGGGAAGGGCTTATCTCAGTCCCCTCAGAGTCCACTGGGTCCAGGGCCCTCAGTAAATGCTTGTGGAATGAATGAATGAGTGAACTAATGAGTGCTTGGAGGGAGGTAACCAAACACTTAGGAGGCCTGAGTCCCAGCCCCAATCCCTGATCATCCTCACCAGGACGCCTCTCTCTGGGTCCAGAGAAGAGGGTCTCAAGGTAGGGGCTGGGAGCAGAGTGGGGAAGGGAAGGTGGACGAATGACTGACACAGGACAGAGCTCTGACCTCGAAGTCAGAAGGCCTGGTTCAAATCCTAGCTGCCCGGCTCAGTTCAAACCCCAGCCATGTGACTTTGGTCAGGTTCAAAGACAAATGATGACTGCTGTAGAATGGTCCCTGAGGAATTTACAAAGCCCTGTTTTACATGTGTCTTTGGTCCTCAGTAGCCGTCCTGTAATGTGGATATTATCATCAATATACCCATTTTACAGAAGAGGAAGTATAGGCCGCAAAGGTCAAGGAACTTGCCCAAGTTCACACAGCAAGCACCCCGCCCCCACCCACCTCCCGCCTTTGCTTCACCCCTGCCTGTGCTGGGAAGAGGTAGGGCTCAGATCTGTCTTCCAGCATGGAGTCCCCAGTGAAAGTGTGGCAACAGGAGGGACTGTGGAGCAAACACCTAATGTGGGCCCCATCAGCCATCTCCAGCCAGAAAAGCTGGGCTGCCCTTTGCGGTAGGTCTCCTGGACACCCCTTCCTTCTCCACCCACAGCCCTGGGGCCTCAGCTGCTGCTCCAGGAGCCTGGAGTCCATGAGGTGCCCATGAACTTCTGCTTTTCCTGGGAAGGTGGGGAACTGGAATGGCGGGGGAGGGTCTAGGGCCTGGGCCTGCCCCTCACACAGGCATGGGCACTTCGTCGTATTCATCCTGACCGTCCTCCTCATCAAAGGCTGCCTTGGCATCATCAGCATCCAGCTGGAGGGGAGGGACACGATGGAGAGAGGGTGAGGGACCCTGGGGCCAGGTGAGCCCTCCCGGGGCATGAAAGTCACCTCTGGAGTTAGGATCGGGTGTGGCTCTTGTGAACCTTGGACCTGTCCTGTTCTATCCCCCCAGCCTCTAGCACTGGCCTGAATGAGTGACTGTCAAAGCAGGAGGCAACCCTGGGGATGTGGACTCTGGCAGGGGAGCCACTGAAGAGGGGGAGCAGGGGACCTCTTCACCAGGGCAGTCCCACAGTGACCTGAGTCACACTGTGGAAGAATTCTACTAGAGGAGCGACTCTGTCCCAAATGACTTGGCAGACGGCGGGACTTGCTGCTCCGGGGTCCCAACAGCTCACGTGCAGTACACCCTGTCTGCCTCTTGATTCTCTCCCCGGCCCTGCCATCATTCCTCCCTTTACAGGTGAGCAAAATGAAGGCACAGAGAAACCAGGCCCTGTGCTCCAGATTGTATGCTAGGACACGGCAGGCCAGAGCCTGGACCCCAGCCCTAGCCCCAGACTTTACCCTTGACGCCGTCCTGCCTGTCCTGGCTCTGAGACTCGCCCCTCACAGGCTCCCAGCTCTTGTGCCCCAGGCCCAGGCAGCCACTCACACACTGAAGCTCCAGGTTCCTGAAGATGAGAGGCAGCAGGATGCGCCGCAGGGGCACGGTGAGGATGAGGACGAAAGGCAGGGCCAGTGAGGCTGGCGTGGACTTCACCACCCACAGCACCACCAGGCAGATGATCTGGATGCCCGTGAACAAGTGCATGCGCCAGGTCTTCACCTGCAGGCGAAGGCTGGGGTCAGTGCCCACTGTGCTCGGTACCCTCCACCACCCCAGGCTGGGCAGCCAGAAAAGGGCCCTGTACCCGCTTGACATAGGGCACATCCGGGTGGTACTTGGGTGGCTTGAGCAGAAGCAGGATGCGGTCAAAG